TTTCACTACAGTGAACCCCCCCCCCAAAAAAAAAACAACAACCCAAAATCTTTCCACCTCATGTTGCAAACTTCTACTCTACACCCATCAGTTTGTTTGAAGGCTACTTCCAAAAACAATTTTAATGCTCTTCAATAATAATCTAAGCTGGAATACGATAGCAATCTTTCCAGAAGATTGAATCTTTCCAGAATGTTTAAACCCATTTTAAAAAGTAACCCCAATTTGCAATTGATAGTCTGGCTTCCTTTGAGTACCCTTATGCAAAAATCCAGTGTAAAACCAAAGTGAATTGTGAAGATGTCAAAAGTTACATTTTACCAGTGATTGATGGATGTTTCCCCAGCTGGAGAGTAAGTGGAAGGAAGAGGTGAAGCCATTCTCCAATCTCTTCCCTTAACTTGTCCTCCCTGACTTAGGTAAAGACACCTGTTTTCAACCTCATTTCCAAAGCAGAATAAAAGTAGGTATCAGGACATTGCAACTTATACCCACATAACACTGTATTTTTTGCTAACTCAAGGATGAAAAGAAATGGGTATTTGCCTTGCAAATGGGAAGAGAAAATGTTTCATTGATTCTACTTCTGTTTATTGGTTGGTGACAATTGCTTTTTAAATTTCAGCCCCCCCTCCAAAATCAGCTTCTTGAACATCTCCATGCACAATTCCAACAATGAGGAAATGAACAAAATAATAATAAAAAATCAGAGTTAATTCTGTCATTCAATTCATTCCTTCAAGGGGTAACTAAGAAAGTCACTACTTCCCATCAAGGTAACTTTAAAAAGCATAGAACCGTATCCTGAGAAGCATAGATTGTTGGGGGGGGGTTGTCTTTCCATCCCTCCCTGTCATACAGTGTAAAACAACAAAGGTTGGCCTTGCCTGACCAGAGAAGGATGCAGTCTCATTTTTCCAGGAAGCAAGACATAAAAACAAGAACTGGACAGCAGCAAAACTATTTGTAGTATTGTCCCTTGGGGAAAAGAGGTCTCTCCACAACACACCACTGTAGGGTCTCTCCACAACACACCACTGCCAGCAGCAAATGTCTTAGATTTAGACTGTTGCAAATCATTCTTGGGTTATCTCTTCCTGGGGCAAATGGGAAGGAGTGTGTGTGTGTGTGTGTGTGTGTGTGTGTGAGTGAGTGTGTCAGAGAGAGAGAGGATGATAAAGCCCTGAAAACCCTTTTACTTTCCCTATCCAGTTTTTCAAACATTCCTTCTCCCATAAGTACAGAAGCTTTGATATAAATTCCCTTATCCCAAAAAAAAATAAATCCATTTAAATTCCTATTTTCTTTGGTTCTAGGCTCATATCTTTTTCTGAAGATGAAATAATTTCAACAAATTTCAACAAATAAAAGAATTTTGGGAAAGAGCCAGCTAGCTCATCCTAAGGAAGTTGTGGGTGTCTTCCCTTCTCTGTCTTTCTTGCTTTTTGGCATTGTTTTAGAGGTGGTTTTTTTTTTTTTTTTTTTTTTTTTTTTTTTTTTTTTTTTTTTTTTTTTTTTTTTTTTTTTTTTTTTTGGTCCTGTTCTAATTTTTCTATTGATTCTGCCATTTTTTTTAGGAGAAAATATTTGCATTTTCCAGTTTGATTACTTTTCTCTTTGAGAAATAATAATAATAATAATAATAATAATAATAATAATAATAATAATAATAATAATAATAATAATAATAATAATAATAATAATAATAATAATAATAATAATAATAATAATAATAATAACCGAAATCCTTCAGTCAGGTGCAGGTAGCAGACAAATATCCTGTTTTACCTTCTAATCAGGATTTTTTTTAAAAAAAAGGCAGGGAAAGGATGTATTCACCAGTTGTTGAGGAGGAGGGACAGAGACACCAGGCACTATTAGAAATGATGAGGAAGTGTTGCAGCTGGAGGCTGTGAAATGCTTATTAAAATGAATTTGTATGAATTCAGCACTTCCTAGTTTTACTTGTTTGACTCTGGAGTCACAAACCAGATTAGGTTGTGTTTTCCTTCACCTTCTTCTCTCCTACTAGCTGGCTAGCTGGATGTGAAGTTCACTAGTAGAACCAACACAATTATTACATGGACCATCTTTGAACTAGCAGCAATCCCAGCCCCTGATGAGAGAACATGTAAAACAGGAGCCCTTAGATGAGAAGATGGGGACAGCCTGCTTTACTATGAAATGATTTAAGGACCGAGTTTTTTTGCTTCAGATGCAACTGGTTCTTTGCTTGGGAACGAGCACGAGGGGGATATTAATACATTTTTTAATGTTTAAAGAACATGCCCCAATTTTTTTACCCCCTCCCCGTCACACACACAGAGACACAGAGAGAAGACAGACACACGCATTTCTAAATGGCACTCTCGGCAGCCAGTGAAAAGTGTTCGGCTCAGCTTTGCTTTTTTGAAATGCCAGGAAAGGAGAGAAGAGAGACAGATTATTGACACTTTAGAATTACAGTATCTCGCCGCCACCAGTTTCTGGGCTGGATGTTCCCCCAACCGACTAGACTAGAGCAAAAAAAAAACCTAACCAAGCGGTTTCGTCCAAATCTATGCAGAGAAAGCTTTGCACCGTCTGATTCGGGTATAAGTAGCTCTTCGTACTGCCAGAGATGTGAGGAAGCTCCCTCGCTTTCCCCCCCTCCCCTTCCCCGCTAGAAGGGTCGGCAGAATCCGTGACAAAGCTACCGGGTCTGGGGAAAAGGGAGTCGTGGGGACGGAGCAGGACATGGTGGAGATGCAGGGGAAGTTTCATGGGTTGGGTTGGTTTCCGCATTGGGAGTGTGGATCCTAGCCGGGGGGGGGGGGGAAAGATCGTGCATTCGTCCGCTCAGCGCACGGGTCCCCCGTTTGCAGCGTGGTTTGCTTCGCGTGGAATCTCGCTCACCCGTTGGCCATCTCACCCCCTTCCTCCGGCTGCAGTTCCGCTGCCACTCACCCTCTGGCCTCCAGCTGCTGCCCCATAGCGTCGCCCGACGTTTCTCCCCTCCCCTCCCCACCCCCCCACCCCGATCCTCACAAGGCTTCATTCTGAGGACCCCCTCGGATCGATTCCCAGCAGGCAGTCAGCTGGGCAGGTCGGTAAAGCGTTCCGAACCAGTTCTGAACGCTCCGGGGTGGCGAATCGGAAGCGCAGGGCCTGGATGCTTAGCTCTGGATTGCCGCCGGGCCAGGATGCCCCCCGAAACTGCGCCTTCGTGCACCCAAGGCTAGGACTTCGTGCACCCAAGGCTAGGACCGCAAAGGGACGAGCCAGCCAGCTCGCAACGGCCAGAAGACGCCAAACGGGGCGCGAGAGAGGCATTCTCTCCTGCAAGGCGGGAGGAAGCAAGACGTGGGAAATGGTGTGGGGGTCTAATTACCTCCGCTCGCTAGTCGCTTGACTCCTGACACTAATTCGAGTCAAGCCCCACCGGGATTCCGCAGGCGCACTCCTTCGCGCTCTCTCTCTCTCTCTCTCTCTCTCTCTCTCTCTCTCTCTCTCTCTCTCTCTCTCTCTCTCTCTCTTTTTTTTTTTCTCCCTTTCCCCTGGCGAACGAGCTGGGCTCCACGCGCGACGTCTGCCGGAGTGGTCGAAGGAGCCAGGCAGGCTCAACTTTTCATTGCGGGAAGAGGAAAGGGAAGACGGATCGGGGAGATGGACGATTCGGGTTCCCGTGTTCTCCTTCCAAACTTGCTCTGAATTGATCGCTTTCTTCTCCGCTCCTTTCTCATTCGCTCGCCCGCCTGCCTGGATTCATCTCCACCTTCCTCCCACCCCCACCCCCCTTCTCCCCTCCAACCCTCCCTTCTCCAACATTCCCTCAGCAGATGGATTTTTGCCACTGCGGCTCAGCAGAGGGTGTCAGATCTTTCGGAGTGCGCCAGGCTTGAAAGAGCACACAACCGCCTAACAACTCCTGCCTTCGACGCGTGAAGGAGTGAGTGAGTGAGTAAATAAGAAGAAGGGGAGGAAAAAGAAGAAGAAGAAGAAGAAAGCGATGGAAAACGGGGAAAGGCGGAGAGCCGTTACGGAAAGGCAGTAAGAGAGAGAGAGACCGAGAGAGGCGAGAAGGGGGAGCGCGAACGCAAGGGAGGAAAAAACGGCGGACAGAGCGAAACCGCAGCGGTTGCAGAATTTTTGCAGCGCCATTGGTTCGGCAGCCCGCCGTTAGGCTGGGGCGTGATTTCAGCACCAAGGGGAACTGGACAGCACCCAAAGGGCTTTCCCCCCCACCCCCTTTACGGGCACCCGGCTTCGACTACAGCAGCGGCGGCGGCAACTGCAACGGCGGAGGCCGGCTTCGCGCGCTCTCGAGAGGCAAGGTCAGTCCGCGAAGCCAAGCCATGCGCCCGGCCAGCAGTCTTCTCCCACCTCCGTCCCTCCAGCCCTGCCACCCTCCTGCAGATGCAGCGGCCTCTCCTGCCGATTCCTAGCGAGATCGTCCCTTAGCCGAGGCAGCCGGAGATCGACTTTGCTCGGGTGGGTTGGGAGGGTAGGGGGTGGGGGTGGGGAGGGAAAGAAGAAGAAGAAGCCACTGAAGGGGGGGGGGAGTCGATGAAGCGGGGAGGGGAGGAATTCAACTTTTCTTCTTCTTTTTCTTCTGCTTGCCCGTGCGTATCTGGAGACTTTGTGGATATTTATCGCTGACTGGAGTCCGGACTGTTGCAGTGTTTGCGGGGGGGAGAGAGAGAGCTAAAAAAGAGAGAGAGAGAGAGAGAGCGAGAGCCGGAACCTCTCAACCTCTCTGCCTCCCTGCATTCCTCTTTAGCCAAGACAACTGGTTTTTTTGAAAATATATTCCTTTTCCTTTTTGCCTCCCCCCCCCACCCCCACCCCCCATTTTTGACGATGGTTCGGACATTCCGTGCCTGGAAGGAACTTGATTGAGCTCCAGCTTGAAAAGAAGCCTTTCTCTTTTTTTTTCTTCTTCTTCTTCTTCTTCTTCTTTTTTTTTTGCCTTGTAGTTTTCCTGTGTGTTTCAGCTCGGGAATGACTGGCTGGGTGTAAAAATGCTGCTTTGGATTCTCTTGCTGGAGACGTCTCTTTGTTTGGCTGCCGGGAATGTTACGGGGGACGTTTGCAAAGAGAAGATCTGCTCGTGCCCCGAGATCGAAGGCGACCTGCACGTCGACTGCGAGAAGAAGGGCTTCACCAGCCTGCAACGTTTCTCGGCCCCCACTTCCCAGTTCTACCATTTGTTCCTGCACGGCAATTCCCTCACGCGCCTTTTCCCCAATGAGTTCGCTAACTTTTACAATGCGGTCAGCTTGCACATGGAAAACAACGGCTTGCACGAAATTGTGCCGGGAGCTTTCCTGGGGCTGCAGCTGGTGAAGAGGCTGCACATCAACAACAACAAGCTGAAATCTTTTCGCAAGCAGACTTTCCTGGGGCTGGATGATCTGGAATATCTCCAGGCTGATTTTAATCTATTGAGGGATATTGACCAAGGGGCCTTCCGGGACTTAAACAAGTTGGAGGTGCTGATTTTAAACGACAACCTGATCAGCATCTTACCTGCCAACGTGTTCCAGTATGTGCCAATTACCCATTTGGATCTACGAGGTAACCGCCTGAAAACCTTGCCTTATGAAGATGTTTTGGAACAGATCCCGGGCATTGCTGAGATCCTGCTGGAGGACAACCCATGGGACTGTACCTGTGATCTACTCTCCTTGAAAGAATGGCTGGAGAACATCCCCAAGAATGCTTTGATCGGCCGGGTGATTTGTGAAGCTCCCACCCGTTTGCAAGGGAAGGATTTAAATGAGACAACTGAACAGGAGTTGTGCAGGAAAACCCGTGTGGACTCCAGCTTGGCAGCTCCCCCTGCAGAAGAGGAGACTTGTGATCCTGGCCCTATTCCCACTCCTTTTAAGATCCATGGCAAGGAAGATTCTGCTACAGCAGGTTCTGCCCCTCATGGGGGTACCAAGATCCCAGTCAACTGGCAGATCAAGTCCAGACCTACAGTTGCTAGCTCAATCCACACCATGAAAGGCAAGTCTTCCAGCAACACACCCTGCCCTGCCACCTGCACTTGCCACCAGATTCCTGGAGGCTTCAAGGTAAACTGCAATGATGGCAACATCAGCAGCCTGGTGGACCTGAAGCCTAAGCCATCCAATGTCCATGAACTCTTCCTGAGGGGCAACAAGATTCACACCATTCGCAAATCCCATTTTGTGGATTATCAGAAACTCAACCTATTGGACTTGGGCAACAACAACATTGCCACTATGGAAAACAATACTTTCAAAAACCTGCTGGAGCTTGTGTGGCTCTACATGGACAATAACTATTTAGACATACTATCTCGAGAGAAGTTCAATGGTTTGCAAAACCTAGAGTACCTAAATATGGAATTTAATGTCATCCAACTCATCATGCCAGGGACCTTTAATGCCATGCCTAAACTGAGAGTACTGATTTTGAATAACAATCTTCTGAGGTCTCTCCCAGTTGATGTTTTTGCTGGAGTCTCTCTCTCTAAGCTCAGCATCCACAACAATTACTTCCTTTATCTGCCAGTGGCAGGAGTGCTGGATCAACTCACCTCCATTACCCAAATAGATCTGCATGACAACCCATGGGACTGCAAGTGTCCAATTGTCCCTTTCAAACAGTGGGTGGAAATGCTGAGGCCAAAGGTGATGATGAGTGACTTAAGGTGTGAGACTCCAGAAGAGTTCTTTAAAGAGGACTTTGAATCTCTCTCCAATGAGGCCATTTGCCCTCAACTCAAAGTCATGCCCACTTTGACTTCCACCCATAAGAATAGTACTGGCTTGGCAGAGACTGGGACTCACTCTAATTCCTACTTGGAGACTAGTAGGGTCTCCATCTCGGTGCTGGTGCCTGGCCTTTTGTTGGTGTTTGTCACCTCTGCCTTCACCGTGGTTGGCATGCTTGTTTTCATCCTGAGGAACCGGAAACGCTCCAAAAGGAGGGACGCCAACTCTTCTGCCTCAGAGATCAACTCTTTACAGACAGTATGTGACTCCTCCTACTGGCACAATGGACCCTACAGTACAGATGGAGCCCATAGAGTGTATGACTGCGGTTCTCACTCCCTATCAGACTGAGACTGCAAAATTTAAAGTTAAAAAAATTTACATCGTGTATGGGCAATCAGTTCAACTTCAGCAGCTAGCAACCTCAACTTCCCTCCAGTGGTTCAAAGCTTTCTTTTCCTGATCTGTGCATCGCTGTCTCGTCCGCTGATGTGAATTGGACCACAGGAAGGGATGGGGCTTAGCCCACTTAAAGCTACCTTCTGGTGAAAAAATACCTACCCGCTCACCAAACCTGGGCCAGCACTATGAGTGGAGGCCTGCCTTTTTATTATTATTATTATTTTATTTTTTTTATCATTATGATTTGCCTAGCCTCAACCTGAGGTTGTGTAACTCTACACTGTATAACCAGTGGGGAAGAAATAAAAGATCCAATCCAAAGGCCAAGATTGGCTTCCTATTGCAGCAAGAGAAAGGGTGAATACGCTTTCCTGCAGGTTGATTCCTAACCCATGTGAATTTATGGGCCCTATATGTGATGGGGAAGCAGAAGCTCTTGCTTGGGCCCTCCCCATTGAGAATAAGGCAGGAGAGTCCAGTTGCACGAAGGCATGAATGTATTGTAAATAAATAACTCTGATCTAGAACAAACCAACCCAAGTTGCTGCATGGTTCGCATGGATACAAAAACCACCCAGGGACGCTTTGGCCCCAAAAGGAAGCAGCGTCCAGTTCACCTCGTCCTCCCTCTTCCCTGATAAGTTCCATCGTATCAAACTTTCTATATACAGATACAGTATAATAAGAATAAAAAAAAGTGCCATTTCGCCATTATTTTTGTGTGATTGCTAGGCAGTAGAGATCATCCATTTACTGTGATAAAAGAAAAAAAAAAACAAGGAAAAATGTAAAGGTTTTATTTAAGACATGTTTGCATGGTTTATACTCTCCTGGGTTTAGGTTTTTTGCATTTTGGGTGGGGGAAATTTACTTTCATGGGGAATTTTTTTTTTTCTCTTTGGGGAGGGAGGAGGGGACGAATTTGCTTCTAGTTATTTTCAAGCTTCTTTTGGAAACTGACCTCTCCAGAATCCCTTTCCATCTGAATGTAAAGCAAGTATCCTTGGGGTCTTCTCTGTTGATCAATCTGTTTAAAATATCCATTGCTTGGGTTTTGTCTTGTTTTGGTTTTTGGTTTTTTTTTATAAAAACAAAACCAGAACCAAACAAAACAAAACCAAGAGCCGGAGCAGTTAAGCATGAGTAGTGAATGCCACTTGAATGCTTAAGATGCAGAGATGAATGAAAGAAGGTTTTTGTGCTCTTGTAAATCAGACTCTGAAAATATATATATATATATAATTCTATCTGGAGAAAAAAAAATATGAGCTGAAGTGAAAAAAAAAAGCAAGCAAGACTTACTAATTCTATTCAAGGATTTTATAATGGCATATTTTTTCAGTATTAAAGTGAAAATGTTTTCAAGGCTTGGGTCATTCATTTTAATGCACGCCCCCCCCCCCCTCTCCCTCATGTCACTTTTTAACTGCCACCGTGGGATTATTTCAGTTTAATTTATGTTGAGAATGGTGGTGGCGGCGGCGGTGGTGAAGTCTTTTATTTTTATTCCTTGTGATCTTGAAATCATGTTTCCGAAGTCGGTTGCTACTCCTTTCCTCTCTTGCCCTGAATGCAGCACTGAAATCCTTTATTAATACTGGAAAATGCCTTTGGTGCCAAGACTGCTGTGGCTGCACACTGCAGATAAACTAGAGAGCTGGATGGGAATTTGATTTAATCGACTAGGTCTTAGATCCCTCTGATTAATAGGAGGATCTGACTTCATTGGGCAGCAATTCTTTTAAGCGTGATGATTGACAAGTGAGAATACTGATGGTAGGGCTTCTGTATCTCTGAAAGAGAGGAGAGGGAAGGGGGGAGAGAGGGGGAGATGGGAGAGAGAGAGAGAGAGAGAGAGAGAGAGAGAGAGAGAGAGAGAGAGAGAGAGAGAGAGAGACTGGAGGAAAAAAAAAACCTCCCCCTCAAAAAATAATTAGCAATGGAATTTCCTAACCTCTCTCCCCCCTCCCTCTGAATTTATTTCGGGTTTGAAATAAATCCCTCTTGCTCCTGCTGTCCAGCTTCAGTACCATCTCCTTTGATTTTCCTTGCACAGTAGGCTGGCCCTTAACTAGAGAATACATGCGGAGGCAGAGAGTACCCCACAAATCAATTCCAGCTTCCGAACCGAAATCCCAGGGGGAGAAATGAAGGATTTCAGTCACGTTGCTTCTGACTTTCTGCAGGCAGAGAAATCCTTTTAAAGAGAAAAAAGACCGGAATAGGCTAACTAAGCTCAACTTCAGAAAACAGACTGGGGGTGGGTGGGGGAGGAGCCTGGGGTAACTAACTAACCAAATAAATACATATATGAGGATGCAGTGTCTCCTTTTATGCTGCCAGGACAGGTGTTTAAGAGGAGAAAGAGAAGAAGGGAGAGGAAGGAATGACCAAATAAGGTACCCGAAACCAGTTGGCTAAAATTAAAAAGGGAGGGGGGAAGGAAGCTGTAACATAAAAGGACCTTTGTGGAGATAGCAGTGTTATGTGACTCAAGCATCGGGAGATTTCCTAAACCTTGTCTTGGTATTTCAGTCTCTTGGTATAACATGATGGTGATGGAGATGGTGATGGTGATGGTGATGATGATGATGATGATGGTGATGATGGTGATGATGATAATACAATTCCCTGCTTCTCTGAACAAGCTATGGCTATTTAGAAAGACCCTTCATCATTTTTTTTCCTTTACCCTCCCTGACCTTGTTTCAGTTATTTTTTTTCCAACCAGAATATTATGTGAATAAAGTGAAGAAGGGAGAGAGAATAGTTATTTTAGCCCAAAGTGTTTTCAATTTTAAAAGAAAATTCTGCTCAATCAATCAATTAGTTTTCAGGACCATCTAAGAACAAGGTTGTTTTATTCACAAGCTGCTTATAAATGTATGGCTGTTAAATCTGTAAAGAACTGACAGAAACTATCAAAACACAGAGATGTACAGTAGTTCGTTCGGACTACTTTATGAACACAGATCATATCTGAAATTTAACAAAATGCCAATTGCTTTGCAGATTACAATAGTACTTGATATTTATTTCTTTTAAAAAAAATTCAAATGAATTGAATTTTATTTGGATATTTTCTTTTTTTGGTGACAAAATATAGACAATGATTTATTGTTGCCACAAGCATATATTTCAAGTAAAAGAAGTAAATGAAGTCACTTTTACAAAGTGGGAAGTACAGTTCTCAGAATGTATTCATCCTCAAATTGCTTTTTGAAATTCTTTTACTTTTTAGAAGGCGACTTAGCTTTAACTGAAGCAGAATTAATGGATCAGTAGCATGCAAAACAATATAAATATTATTTCTATCATGTAAAGATTTTTATCATGTAAGGATCTTTGCATATCTGCTCAGTATATTCATGGATTTTTATACATTATAAAAAGAAATAGATACAAGGGATAATAACAGTGAATGACTAATGTGGAAAGATATTTCAATTTATCTCAGTCTTATCTATTATTAAACTGCATGAATGTTTTATTCATCCTGACAAAGTAGAACAGCTTCCATAATATTTATGCAACTGGAAGCATAAATGCTTTCACTGTTATGGTTTTATGTATGTAGCTATCAATACACATGCATCCTATTCCGTGTTTCAAATATTAAGAAACATTGTGTGCTATAAATGTGTGCTGGTGAAGGATGCTGGTTCCGGTTGAATCAGCCTTCAATTCATCAAACTTAAAAGGGATTTCAATAATACCAGGTATGATAGTTAGAGAAAAAAGAAAGGCGGCTTATTTGTGTGTGTATAGCTTGAGACAGATCATTTGATGGGAGGTCAGCATAAGTCATAACTTGCTTTGCTGCTATAAGGACTATATGTTTGAATATATATGAGCATCTTACATGATTATTTATTAGAAACTTGAATGGATTTTATATCATATAAGGCACTGAATAGAATAGGAAATGAATTACATGCTGTCTTTTGAGAAACTATGGGCTATTAATTTTAAGGCAGGTTCACATCTCTTCCTAAAGCAGTTCTTGGTTGTGAGTTGAAACAATATGACGGAAAGCAGTAAGATATAACTGAAAGCAGAGACAGATAAAACATGGAACTGGGTGAACTGCCAGAGCAGCACCTGAAATATCAATGTTTTATACAGGTAGTCCTTGACTTACAACAGTTCATTTAGTGACCATTCAGAGTTACAACGGCACTTATGACTGTTTTTCACACTTATGACTGTTGCAGTATCCCCATAGTCACATGATCAAAATCTAGACACTTGGCAAATGACTCATAGTTATGACGGTTGCAATGTCCCAGGTCATGTGATCACCTTTTGCCACCTTCTGACAAGAAAAGTCAATGGGAAAGACAGAGACACATAACAATGGTGCTACTAACTTAACAACAGCAGTAATTCACTTAACAATGGTGTCATGAAAGGTCATAAAATAGGGCAAAATTCACTTAGGAACTTTCTCGCTTAGCAACAAAAGTTTTGGACTCAATTGTAAACGTAAGTCCAGGACTACCTGTATTCTGTTTAATATATAGGTAAATGTTTATTATAATATTCTTTTATATGTATGAGAGACAGAGTGAGTTAATCAGCTTTGATCTAAAGCTTATTTTGAAGTCCCCCAAAGAGCATTTTATCTCTTCAACCACCTCTGCAAAAATATCTCAGAACTTCTAACTAAACTGAACCTAGTTCTGTTGTTGTACTTTTTGCCAAAACAGAACAAAAACCAAAACTATACTTCGTTGTGTTGGAAAAACACCTTTATGGTTTTCGATAACAGTAATCTCATTTTGCATCAAGACTCCACCCATGTCAGGAAATAAAGTAAGAATTTGCACTTTCAAATCAAAGTACAGGAAGATCAGTGTTCTCTCAGCATCTAAATGCTAAGTGTGCCTTGACCCAAACAATGCCTGCAAAGATATTGCCATCTTTTAACTTCCTGAAACCCCAGACTA